GCCCGCGGGGCCGCCCGCCCGCCACAGGGCAGGACGGGACGGGACAGCGCAGCACAAGGCAGGACGGGGGTCTCGCTGGGCTCCGCCGCCCCCGCCCCGTGCCCCGTGTGGTCCCCCAGCCCGACTCACCCGCCCGGGGCCGCTCGGTGGGGCTGGCGCGGCGCCCCTTTGTCCGCCCGTCACTGCGGGCAGCGCTGGGGCTGCCGGGACCGACCGGCCGCCGCCGCCGCCGCGTCACCGCCCCGCCCGCCGCCCGCCCCCGCCGCCATGTCGGGGCTCCCCGCGATCGGGGGTGTCCGGGGCCGCTGCCCGGGGCCGCCCCTCGGTGCTGCCCCGGCACCGCGGGGGTTCTCGGAGCGTCCCCCGCCGCCCTCCCGGGCAGCCCCGCCGGCTCCGCGGGCAGCGCGGGATGTACGGCCGGGCCGCCGCTCCTCACCTGCGGGAAGGTGTTTTTTAATAGTAATTTACCTCATCTCATAGTTCTTGAGGTTTAACCCGTCCTGGAGGGGTTCCTCCCCTCTCCCGGCTCCTCGAGGCCGCCGTGTTTCCTTCCTGGGGTTGCGGCTCCGGAGCTCCGGCTCCCCCCGGTGCTGCCCATCGCCGGCACGTCCCGCGGTGGAAGGGTCGGTGTCCCACCCGGCGTGAATCACAATAAAAGTATTGACAACTCAGTCGTACCTGCATGACCACACGGCAGCACGGCTTAAATGGGGCACGCTGTCCCTGTCAACAGCTTCTCATCCTGTTACCTTTGTTCTCTGTTCCTCTTTCCTTAAATTAAACTAGTTGTGGACTTCAGCTCATTTTATGCATTATCCACTATATCATCTTCCTTTAGTTTTCTTCCCAACTTCGGCTTTTAAGGCCTGTATAATAAAAATAACCCCATGCATAATCACCACCCAATATCATCCCCAATTTTAAGATTATTAATGCAGCAGAATGTTTTCATTGCAAGTCAGGTGGATAATTAAGATTTATATTGAGCCATCCAGTCAGCAGGATTGCAAAATCTTTTACCCATTACCAGGCTTTACCCACCAGTGAAATGAACACACATCCGTGGTGAAGTAAACACAGCAGCAATGAACGTTTCACAATAATACCATGAAACAATCCAGGACAGGAAGCAACACATTTTGTCTATTTAAAGTCGTGGAAGACACTAAATAAAGAAATTCTAAACAATGTATTTTCTAATTTAGCCAAGTTGTGTATATTATCAATTACCTTTTTCTGCAGATCTAATGGTTGGTAGTAGTTCATTAAGAATTCACAAATTACATAGTATTGTTAAATTATTACATATAGAAATTATTATATTGTCAGAATTTCTGAAAATGTATGTAGTGAGAACTGGTAAAATACAGGTTTTTTGTTTCTTGATGAGTGTCGATCAGCTCAGATTTTAACATGTTTAAAAATAAACTGGAATTCTTGTTTTTAAATGGACTACCAGACTTCAGCCTCTCAGGATACGTTCAGAAAATTATTATGTTTTTACTGAGTATTAATCCAATGCAGGGTGTTCCTGATTTTGGAAATCTGTCTCAGGACAAGTGGCAGACATAAACATGCTTCAGAGATATTTAAGTTAATAACAAATAGAATGATGAAATTAGAAAAAACCTAATTTAAAAGGACTAGACTTAGAAGCACATTAATTAGCCACAGTGGATATTTTCCAGTTCATCCAGCTCATTTAAAAAGAAAGTTCAGACTCTCTAAAAGCAGGTTTATTATCTTCCTCTGCAAGTTTCCCAGGATTCAACTTTGTTCTGCCACGTATTTAATAATGTTTGCATACACCTCTTGAAATCAGGACTCATGGCAGTCTCCTTCCTCTCCCACCCATCTATCACTGCAGCTTGTTTCCAGGTTATTTTGTAATTTTAAAATCCCTGTGTTAACTCAAATTCAGTGTGAAAACCTGCATGTGTGTGAGTAGGAGTCAGTGGTGTTCTGTCCTTGCTGCTAGTGCCTGTTACTTTGGAGAGCACAAACCCCCATCCCTGACAAGTAACGTGCCCTTGGGAGAGATCCTGCCCATCCCAGACATTCCTAAAGGTACGTGTGTGCCATCGCTGTTGAACCAGCACTGACGTATGCTAAAATATCCCAGAGCTGTTTGGTTTAGGGCACACACAAAAACTTGGCTTGGCACCGGTCCCACTGCTCTTCTCCTGCCTTGCAGCAAGGCTCAACTGCCTCAGGGGGATGGAAAATGATGGAGAGGATTTGAGGATTCGTGCAGGGTGCCCACATTCTGTGTGCTGTGGGAAGGCTGCTCAGCTGCGCCGTGGGAGATGGAGACTGCTGCCTTGTGTGGCAGTGACTGGGATTATCTCAGATCTGTGGGAAGTTCTCTCTTGTATCATTAGGTTATTGTTTCTTTCACTTTCTCCTTTTTGGGCTGCTTTATTCTGCCTGAGTAATTAATTATTTCTGGGATCATAGGCAGATTGAGGTTGCAGTCCTTGTTATGATGGTGGTAGAGCAGGGAAAAGATGAGAGGAGAAAATGTGGATGGAGAAGATGACGGAAATACAGATGCAAAGGAGCAGAGGCATAAGATACAGCAAAAAATCTGCAACAAGTTTGTCAGGTCACCTCAAATGTGATCTGAGGTGTAAAAAAATGCTGTCCCTGTAGTTAATGTTTGGTCCTCTGATTTTTTAACATACCTTGGAAATCACTGTGAGTTACCTAAAAGCATTGGCTAGACTTCTGTTACATAAAATATTGCCTCCTTACAGCATGAAACCTGAGAGTGGAGTGTGCAGATAGAGAATGCTCCTGAATGACTCTGTGGTGGTTTTGGTTGCTGTGGTGATTATCCATCTGTTTAAATACTTTATACAGGAGACTCACAACTCATTTATCATGGAGAAGATTTTCTTAAGTTATGAGAAACACAGCATTATGCCTGATTCCTGTAATTTTTCATACTTGATTAGCAAAAAATTCCACTTATCTGCCATGGCATAAAGACACGGTGTATTATTTAGGTGTAGAGGGTATGGCAGAGGGTTCTATGTTTACCACTATCCCAGTTAGGCCTGGAACATTGGCACATGTGTGGTGGTTGTGTAGTTGGAGAGTCTGACTGCAAACACTTCATTAGGGACCTCCTCTAATGAATCCTCAGTCTGAAGCAGTCACATGAAATAACTTTTAGAATATTTTTACAAAGTCTGATAGAAGAAGAATGAGTGAGCACAACATTTTATGTATCTGTATCTTACCAACAGCTCATAATGCATTTAATTCTTATTCTTAATGTGATATTTTGTTTTTCTTGACAGTTCCCTTCTCCATGGCACAACATGGCAGATCTTCTTAGGCTTTGAAGACAATCAGGAAATGACGTATTTGGTTTTTTTCAAATGATGTATCTGCTTTTCCATTCATGCCCATGTTGTGATTTTTTTAATCTTGTCTTTCTGCAGAAGATTATTTGAATTTTCTTTCTAATTAATACCAATTTATAAAACTAAGTCCTCATAAAAGATACTTTTTTCACTTTAAAAGACTATCAGAAGAAACAAAATACTGCATTCAAACTACCACCTTAAAGCAGCATACGTGTTCTGACTTACAACAGAAGCAAGAATTGCTCAACCTAAACTGTCCAAGCTGTTCTTGTAACTTTAATTTACCATTAAAAGATTTTTTTTTTACTTGCTTATGTGTCAGCTTTTCAATTTCCCCCCCCTCCTTGGCAGTGTGCTGTACTGCCATTCCCTGTCACTGGTGACTTAGACATACTAGTGTGTATTTTTCGTGTCAGAGGTTAGACTGTTTGCTTTTATGACTAATGATGTGGACCTGGGGAGCCACATATCTAAGCACCGTTGAGGAAATATCTAGACCTCTGTTAAAGTGTAATCCTTTTCTGGGCATGCCTGTATAGGAGAGTGAAGACAGCTCAAAGATCTCTCTGCCCATGCTCCCCAATGGCTGAAGCCAAGCGACTTCCACCTTAGGAGTCCTTTAGCTCAGCTCTCTGAGGATGTGCCTATGGACACTGGGAACACAGCATGCCAGAGAGCCACATTTGCTGCAGAACAGATAAAGTGATTTGGGGAAAATATAGCCTAAAGAGTAGCTGTCTTTAAAACACTAAATGTAAACAAGAGCAGGTTTCATGCGTGCTCAGCAAATAAGGCCAGTATATTATTTAAGGGATCAAGTCCCTCTCAGGTCTGGTACTGAGTGAATTTTGCCCACAAAGTGTTTGCATTACACTTCAGACAGGTATCAGGGTTTACTTGCTTGTACTTGGTGTCTTGCGGTTCTTGGTGTGGGAGCTCCTGACGTGCTGTGATCCCTCAGCTGTATAAGAGAAGCCATAATTGAGTCTTAGACACTGAGGTATTTATAATCACTTTGAAACCTCAGAGAGAACAAACAGTTAGAGGTTTATAGGCAGTCATCATCTTTATGAAGTGTTGGATCTATTTCTGCGTTGTCTGCAGAACCCTGCTGAGAATCTCTGTGTCCTGCTCATTGGAAAGCTGCAAACCCAGCATGGGCTCTAGTTTTTTCCAAGGATGTGCGCATACATCTCTTATAAATAAGCGGTTATGGTTGTTTCATTAGACCTCTAATAACATCTCTATTTTATTTTCCTTTCAAAGATGTTTATTCAGTGTTGACACATATTTATAATATCATCTCAACAGTAAGAGTCTATCCTGTCAGATTTACAGCTATTATAAAGTATGATGCTATCTGCATACAAATGGATGGTGGGAGCCCTACAGACATTTCCCCTATTATTACTGCCTAAGGAAGCAATAAAAATTTAACATTTACCATTGGGAAACACCTGCAGAGATTAAATTAAAACTAGATTATATGCTTATCAGTTATATGTTACAAAAGCAAACTCTTTGGAGATTAACATAAAAACCATTGTTATCAAAATCTTATTAAAAGCTTCACTTAATATGATCCATTTTGCACCTTGGCTGCACAAATGTTCCACGTGCGTGACTTGCTGAGTCTTTGTGCAGCTGGCTGGGGGAGAGGCAGGGCAGCTTTGCTATCACCTCAGCAAATGATATTTGGATTTGTTGTTAAAAGCAGGTACCGTTTGTCCTTCTCCCTCTGATCCTGGCCGCTCTCTGAAGGGCTCTCCACACTGCACGCTCTGTTTCTTGAGCACGGCGCCAAGGCAGGCTCCCGGCTTCCTCATGGAGTTCAGCTGGGAGTTACTCCGGAGAACACTCGTCCT